AAGGGCAGGTACCTTGGTTGTGGGCACATCCCCAACAGGGAGTGTGCAGAAGGCAGCTGATCGATGTTTCTAACTTTCTATCCCTCTCCCTTCTTCTCTGTAAAGAAGTAAATAAAATACATATTTTAAAAAAAGATACATATACAATTGAAAGAAGAGAGAAACTGGGGAGGGATGATATACTGAGGGCAAGTAGTCTTTCTAAGTCCAAATCTATTGGCGTTGCTCCCCACTGCCTATAAAATAACCCAGTCCTCTTTGAAAGCCTGTTCCAAACCACCTTTCCAGTCCCCAGGCCCCCAAATCTCCTTGCTGGGCACCATGCATAAGCTCCCTCAAATGCAGATTTGGTTAGTCTCTCCCTGTCCCTATCACCCCTCCCCCTCTGAGATGTTTCAGTCTCTTCTATGCATCCATGCCTTTCTTGTCTTGATTGCTTTCTTCACTTAGCCTAATCCACCCACGTTTTACAATGCCAAGCCCTTTACCAGGTGCCCTGCCTTGCTTTCTATGCCCAAGTCCTGCTGAATTACATACTTTCTCTTTCAAGCACCTCAAGCATTTTTCGACATGGCTTTGATTCTCTACTTGGGCACTAATCGTGTTCCCTTAGTTCAGATCACAGCTCAATGACCCCTGTGGCCCTGAGCCTGCTATAGTGTCTGGCACAGTGTAAGTCACTCAAAAATATCTGATGTCCTGGTAGCTGTTGTCAAAAGTGAACCCATAAATCTCAATATAGCTGAGATACGTAAAGGAATACTGAGTTTCCAGGACCTGACACAGTCAAGATTCACTCAGGTGACCACCATGAAAGTTGAAGCACGTGAGTGGATTAACAGGAAAGGAATTTGTTTTACAAGCTACAGGAATTTGCCCATGGGTTGCAGAAGTACTAACTCTGGTAAGAATATAAAATCATAAAAAATAAAGTAGAAATTCTTTGTATGGGTGGTACAGAGAATGAAAGTGGGGAAATTTATAATAATAATAAACCATTACATTTGATCCTATAAATAACTTTTTAAAAAAAACTTTTGAACAGGTGGTCTGAGGAGGAATAACCACCTGAGAAACTCCATGAAAAAGAGGTTCCATGGTCAAAAATAGCCCTAACCAGTCGAAACTGGTTTGGTTCAGTGGATAGAGTGTGGGTCTGTGGACTGAAAGGTCCCAGGTTCGATTCTGGTCAAGGGCATGTACATTGGTTGTGGGCACATCCCCGGTTGGAGGGTGTGCAGGAGGCAGCTGGTCAGTGTTTCTCTCTCATCGCTGTTTCTAGCTCTCTATCCCTCTCCCTTCCTCTCTGTGAAAAATCAATAAAATATATATTTTTAAAAATAGCCCTAACCAGTTTGGCTCAGTGGATAGAGATCAGCCTGTGGACTGAAGGGTCCTGGGTTTGATTCCAGTCAAGAGCACATGCTCGAGTTGTGGCCCCATCTCCAGAAGGGGGCATGCAAAAGGCAGCCAATGATTCCCTCTCATCATTGATGTTTCTATCTCTCTCCCTCTCCTTCCCTCTCCTTCCCATCAATAAAAATATATTTTAAAAAATAGGTGAAGGCAACACTACCTAACAAGGCTTCCTCCTGGGAGAGCTACCTGTGCACAGGGCGGTTAGAAAGGCTCCAAGTCAGCTATAAAGAAATCTTTAAGTTCGCTAAACCTATAATTTCTCTTTTTCTTTACTCACAACAACCATTAAAATTCCTTGCAACTTGTCCTGGCTGGTTTGGCTCAGTGGATAGAGCAATGGCCTGTGGACTGAAGGGTCCCAGGTTTGATTCTGGTCAAGGGCATGTGTCTCAGTCAGAAGTGCAGGAAGGCAACTAATTGATGCATCTCACACTGATGTTTCTTTCTCTTTCTCGCTCCCCCACCCCTCCTTTCTATTCTCTAAAAATCAATGGAAAAATATCGTTGGGTGGGGATTAACAACAACAACAAATCCCTTGTAATTTATACTCTATTGAACACATAGAGTGTTCAATATACTCTATTTGGGAATATACTGCTTTGAACAACTTAGAGCTTTAGGGGCAGGGTATATAGGAATTGCTGTTTTCATTTAACCCAGGAGGTAACTAAGACTTCAGGAAACCGACTTGTTTAGAGTCACACAGATTATAAACAATGAAGTCGTCCATTGATAAATTCCATGTTTGTCGTTTGTTGTTTAATACGAACCAGGCATTGTGGTAGGCCTGGGCTGGCAGGTCTAGAATGCAGGCCACCTCCCAAATCCCAGGTCATGCCATCTACACTATTAGATCTAAAAGGGTACATAGGGACCATTTAGTGCAACCACCTCATTTTCAGAAGAAAGGGAGTCTGGGAAAAGGTAAACAACTCCCCGAGGCTCTACAAATAAAAAGAGCAGAACTGGAATCCAATGCCAGGGCTTTGTCTCCTACTTCTCACAGTTCACCATTCAGCCTCCAGATTTGCTCACAAAACATAAAACCCAGTGTGCTTGGAAATCCTTCCAAGACCTCTTAGTTTCATCTCAACTGGTTCTTGATACAGTTCCAGAGCCAGCAAAAACCCAGCTGAGGATGCTGTTGTCTCTGCTTAGAAAACGTTAAGGGACCTTTATACTCTTAATGCTTTCTGTGGCGTGTTTAGCAAATGGAATAGTTATTTCCATGAGAAATCAAACGTTTTCTATGAACTGCAAATGGCACATTTCCAAAACTGAATGTGTATTTTTGCGGTAAATTTTTCAGTTCAATGTCTCGGGTAGCTGAGAATGCTTTTATGTTGAGAATTCGTGTTGGGACATGTACTTTAACGAGCCCTGAGACTCCCTCCAGGGAGGTAGTTCTTTCTTTTGTCTACAGATCTGATGGGTGATATGGATCCTTGTCCAGAAAACAATGGATGTTAGTATACAGCGCTGCCTGTCACTTCAGGGATTCTCAGACCCCGTGAAAATGCCTGCTCTGGAGTGTGACACTGCAGAATCATCTATGGTCCTGCGTACTTCAGCTCTTGATTTTGAGGATGCCTGGCTTATATTTGGGAGTTGCAATCATGAAATTAGGAATAGGTCCTTGAGCCAGGAGTAATTAAAATGTATCTAGAAGTTTCCCCTAATACGGCTGCAGTAATCGTAAACCAATGACGACTATTAAAAGACAAATCCCTAACGTAGATGTTATGAGTTAGCTGTGGTTTACTTAATCATTCTTTTTTAAAAAATATATATTTTATTGATTTTGTACAGAGAGGAAGGGAGAGAGACAGTTAGAAACATCGATGAGAGAGAGTCATCGATCAGCTGCCTCTTGCACACCCCCTACTGGGGATATGCCCGCAACCAAGGTACATGCCCTTGACCGGAATTGAACCTGGGACCCTTCAGTCCCCAAGCCGATGCTTTATCCATTGAGCCAAACCGGTCTCAGCTACTTAATCATTCTTAAATGAATAAAAAGTAGGACACTTAGTATCCTCCACTTTTCCAAGACCTCCCAATTGAGAATGTAGGGCGGAGTTTAAAGAGAAACAAAATAAAATTTTAAAAAAATATTTAAACATAAAGAGAAACAGCCAAAACCGGTTTGGCTCAGAGGATAGAACGTCGGCCTGTGGACTGGGGGGTCCCAGGTCCGATTCTGGTCAAAGGCATGTACCTTGGTTGCGGGTACATCCTCAGTGGGGAGTGTGCAAGAGGCAGCTGATCAATGATTCTCTCTCATGGATGTTTCTAACTCTCTATTCCTCTCTGTAAAAAAATCAATAAAATATTTTTTAAAAACATAAAGAGAAACAAAAGAAAATTAGTGTAAAATTTGGAAAGATCTGGAAGTCTTCACTAGAGTGAAAATCTGGAATGGTTATAAATCAGGACTGTGGAATCTCCCTTTCCTCTCCGCTGCTTGGATAATTCAAATTTCTTGTTCCCCAGAATCAGGTAGACCAGCTTGACCTTTTCAGTACTAAGCAGAGCTGGTCTCTGTCTTAGCTTTCCCAGTCACCTTTCCAATCGACTCGTAGAGAAGCACCCTTCAACTAGCAGAGAGGGAGGTCAGGGAGCCCGTTTTAATTGATGCTTCCCAACAAATTAAGAGTAAAAATGAAGGCCAAGGAAACACACAATCAAAGTCATTCTATAGCTGGAAAGTGGCCCCTGTGTGTGTCTTATTTACAAAAGTCCTAGAAGAGCCGAAGCTGGTTTGGCTCAGTGGTAGAGCGTCTGTCTGCAGACTGAAAGGTTCGATTCCGGTCCAGGGCATGTACATTGGTTGTGGGCACATCCCCAGTAAAGGGTGTGCAAGAGGCAGCTGGTTGATGTTTCTCTCTCATTGACATTTCTAGCTCTCTCTCTCTCTCTCTCTCTCTCTCTCTCTCTCTTCCTCTCTGTAAAAAAATCAATAAAATATATTAAAAAAAAAAAAAAAGTCCTAGAAGAGCATGCCGTATCCACTCGGATTTGGACATTCCCGTTACAGATTTTATATCAAACCATCACTATAGCAAATGAGGCTGTGTGGGGGCATGTGCATTATGAAGAGTCTACCTATGGGCAAGCACATTGCATGGATTTTATTCCTCTAGCTAGCCAGGATGGGTGCAACCTGGGCCACTATTGAATGAGAAGGGAAGCAGCATTTTCTTTGCCTCAGTCTATAAGGGGTTGTGGGGGAGAAGATGTGGGTTGGGGATTGCTAAGTAAAGACCCATTCGAATCATAGGTTTTGGCATCTCCTTTTAAAATTCCTCACTCGGGTGTCTAGCTGAAGCTCCGGAGGAGAGGAGTTGACCCAGTTGGATCCACCGATTTCCTTCCAAGTCTTAGCAAGCTAATAGTCAAGGCCGCGTAGCCAGATGCAGAGTGGGGCAAAAGTAGGTTTACAGTTGTGTGTACAGGAAACACAGACTTTATTCTTGTATTACTTATTAATTACTGCATAATTTTCCACACAAGCAACTGTAATCCTATTTTTGCCCCACACCACCCTGTACTGAAGGCAGTTCTTACAGCCAGTACATACCTGTGGCAGTTTCACATCATTGATATCCCAGTTTAATATGTCTTTGTCCTCAGACTCAAAATCCTCAGGCTCCATGGTAAAGTCAGGCCAGCCACCGATGTCTGTGACTGTAACTCCCCTCAGCAGTGCTTCAGGATTTTGCTCAGAATATGTTTGGATCAGTCCACTCAAGCAGTTTAGACCAAGAGACTAATTTCTGATGCTAAAAAAATAAAATAAAAATGATAATAATATTGACCATTAAAGAGATATAAATCAGTGCTTGTCTAACTAAAAAACCTGTTTTATTGACATGTTTGCAATCACTAATATACGGATAGAAATAAAATGTAGAAGCCGGTAAGAGATATTGCTGAAATAAAGCTTGGCCTGCCCTAGCCGGTTTTGCTCAGTGGATAGAGCGTTGGCCTGCGGACTCAAGGGTCCCAGGTTCGATTCTGGTCAAGGGCACGTACCTTGATTGTGGGCATATCCCCAGTAGGGGGTGTGCAAGAGGCAGCTGATCAATGACTCTCTCTCATCGATGTTTCTAAATCTATCCCTCTCCCTTCCTCTCTGTAAAAAAATCAGTAAAATATATATATATATATATATATATATATATATATATATATATATATATATTTTAAAAAAGGTTGGCCTACGGGAATCAGAAACGTGGTGATTATGCACTAACTCCTGGGTCTTTTTTATTTTTTATTTTATTGATTTTTACAGAGAGGAAGAGAGAGGGGTAGAGAGTTAGAAGCATCAATGAGAGAGAATCATCGATCAGCTGCCTCTTGCACACCCCCTACTGGGGATGTGCCCACAACCAAGGTACATGCCCTTGACCAGAATCGAACCTGGGACCCTTCAGTCCGCAGGCTGACACTCTATCCACTGAGCCAAACCGGTTTCGGCAACCCTTGCATCTTTGCTAGTCCCAGCTTGCAAAGGCTGTAGCAGGAATGGCTGTCACCTGTAGCCAATGGTTAGGGTCTTTTCCTCCTAATAGATGCCTGTGTTTGAGGGAGAGGGCTGGCTAGGATTTGTTTCCACCAAAATGCCTTCATCCATTAGCTCATGAGTGGATGAAATTCCAAGAGGGGAACATCACAACCAGCCGTGTCTTTATAGTATTTTTTGAAGCTAAATAGCTCCAGAGGTTAATGCTGGTCTCCTCGATAAACCCAGTGTGCACTTTACATCTTCAAATAGGATCAAATGACAGGCTCTTAAGAGATTCCTGTGAAGCCTCGGTGTTGCGGACATGTTAGACCTCATAACTCTTTGTTGTGCGGGCTTATCTGTGCACTGTAGGCTGTTTGGCAGCATCCTTGGTCTCTGCCCATTAGGTGCTAGTCACAAACCACACTTCTTTGTTGTGACAACAAAAAAATGTCTGGAGACATTGCCTAACGTGCCCTGGGGGGATTGTATGATAACTGCTCTAACCTTGTGTTTCTTATCATCTCACTCGGAGGAGTCTCCGGGACTTTGTGACTTCACCTTCAGCCATCTCACTCTCCTGTTGCCCACCAGAAAATTCTGTCTCACCTTGCTGTGATTGCTTTATGGAAGCAATCGATACTCAAAAATTTTTGTGCAAACTGCATTTCTTCCCCATGAAGAATACCACTCTAGTTTCTAATTATAATCCGTTAGAGGAGATTTACAGATTAAGAAGAAAAAAAAAGTTAGTTCGAAGTGTTCTACTGAGGAAAACCGAATTGCTTTGCAGGTAAAATGCGCTTGTCAGTCGAATACAAAGGGAAACGTGTTTGCGTGGACAGATGACCCTTGAACAATGTGGAGGTTAGGGGTGCCAACAGGGCACGTAGTGGGAAATCTGAGTGCAACTTAAGCCGGCCCTCTGCGTGCACAAAGCCCCAGCCATAGATCCGTATCGTTATCATTTGCTGGTGTTCTTGTAACAAGGGACGTGATGGTGTTATGCAGAACTCTTCAATCGTAAACTCAAACCACAAGCTGATTAATGGTCCTATGAGCTTTGTTCCTTAATTATGTGACTTTATCTAACCCTAACATTCGTCAATCACGGACAAGTATCCAAGTGTAGGGATACAGAAGACTGTGGACCTGGACATTAGATAACAAGCTAAACAGAATTGAAGAGACCTCCCGACCCTGTCTACCCACATTTGCCAATCACTCAGTGCTCACAGACTCAAAGAGCATGAAGTCCCCACTTCCCATTTCAAACACTGACATGCAAAATGAAATCCCTGGGAGTTTCAAACCAAATTCTATGTTTGGAAAATAAACATTGAGTTAATTAAGAAACGATGCCACAGATTGACTTTAATTTAGAAGACTTTAGCAACAAGTGTATTAGACACAAATATCAAGTGAAAATGATAGTGACAGATTTATGTACTTACCTTTTTGAATGTTAAAACAGTGATTCAAATGGTCTAAAATTTGTTATCGCTAATTGGGAAAGATTGATCTTTTTTTTTTTCTAAAAGACAAAACAGATGAATAACAAGATTCACATTTCCCCAAATGAAAAACATTGTTATAAGCCTAGTTATTATAGACATGATTCTTTTGTTTTGAAATTAAGGAGAGGGAAATCAAATATCTTACTACAGAACATCTAGATTGTTTTAAAAAAATTTTTTTCTGATATAAATTTTTGCCAAATAAATGAACATTAATTTAATATTTCACTGAAGGATAAGAGCGAATCATAGAAAAGAAGAAAAGACTGCAGCCCTTAAGACATAAACAAATTGAACTTTTCTCCAGGATTAAAAAGTCTAAATTTGTCAAGACTTTCTCTTTTTAAAGCAACTCGGGCTAAAGTGTATTCAATTTTCATCATTTCTACCAAAAACCAACTAGAAAAATGGAACCCTGTAATAATGGGGTGGCCATTACCGCATCCCTTACATGTGCATTTTCTTGGGCTTTCTGGCTTCCTTACCTTTTGACTTCGTATGGAGATGCAGACAATACTGTGTTATAAAAATCTCATCCCTGGTTCAGGTCCCAGCAGGCTCTGCTCATTTTCAAGGCAGAAGCTGCTGTTCCCTAACCCAGGTCAAGGTACACTATGCTAATGAGCTCTGGCAATAGTCCAATCAAAATCTAGATGCTCCCAGCTCAGGGTAGGTAAGAGCGAGCAGGGAGCCACTTAACCAGCTCAATTCTCTGCAGAATGCGAGCAATGTGATGAATATTTTATGATGTGCCTCTGAACTTTCCCCTCCTTTATAGTACGAGGGCCCTGTAACAAAATTTTTGAAAGAGGGCTCTCGTATGAGAACCCGTAGAGGAGGCACAGATGGTTTCCTCTAGTAATGTCATAGTTTGGGCCCCCAGCAGAATTGACAGTAAATTCTAATTCTCTCACCATCGACACCTATCTGTGTATGCGTGCGTGAGAGACAGAGAGAGAGAGAGAGAGAGGAAGCAGACATTGCACTGAAGGAATTTATTGGAATTTAGATTTGAGTAGCCAACAGCTCCTAAACACAAAACACCAAAACGCTAACTGAACCACTAACAATGATGCCCCAATAATTCTAAATGTCCCAATCTCCCAAAATAACATAATTCTCCCTTCTAGACATGTCCTCAGCAGTCTGGGCAGCAGCCCAAAATCAGTTGAGTTCATCTGCTGTGTTCCAGGCAGTCTGCGAGGCGCTGGAGACACAGTGAGCGTCACAGCTGTTAAGAAGCTCAGTCTACCCGGTGGGTCCCGGGACTGTCGGGGGAACACTTTGTGAAGTGTGACCGTCTGACCCCTGTGCTGGACACCTGGAATAATAATGTCATATTGGATATAAACTATAATTGAAAAATATTTTTTTTATAAAAAAGTTCAGTCTAGGGAAAAGATGAAAAAAGACACGAAATGAGCCCAAGGTAACTTGATGCACAGAATGGGGGCAGCCTAGAAGCAGCATAGAAGGAGAAATTATTCATTGGGAGAGAAGAGAATCGGAGGAAACTTGTTTAACAAAAATGATGCCTGAGCAGCCCTTTCAAAGGCAGATAGATCTTTGTCGAGGCATGGAGAAATGGAAAAGGCCGCTCCCGGCTGTGGCAATGCCGTGGGAAAAGGTGAGAGGTATGAAGAGTGTGGCGTGCACAGCATCACGAGAAGTCAGTGCCTGCCAGGAAGGGGCACGCCGCCGTCAGAGGAAGGAAGGAATGAGCAGGCCAGAAGGCAAAATACTTGGGAGGCTTCGCAGGTTGTGTCGGGCAGTCCCTGAGTGACCTTTGGCCAGGCTGAGCTTTCCCACCCATCGCTCAGTTCGTAAATGAACTTTACCTTGAGCCATCTCTCTCTCTGCTGACCCCCACAAGAAAATTCTGTCTCACTTTACTTTTTTATTTTATTTTATTGTTTGAAGGATTACAAATAGTACATACCAATCCTGCAGTTGATCTCTTACAGAACCCCACACACAACCTCCCTATTCTTCCTGCTATAGTTTGACAGTCTGTTCAATGGTTCTTTATCTCTATAACTATTTTTCCCCATTTCTTTTCTTTGAAAAATCTTGCAGCTGCAGACTAGAAATAAACATATAATAACAAAAAACATTTGAGTCCCAATTTCAGTGTCCTACAGTTCGGTGCCTCACTTTACTTTGATTAAAGGGTTGTATGTAAACAGTAGATTGTCAAACATGGTTTTGCAAACTACCTTTCTTCCCCTAGGAGACATTCGGCTCTGGTTTCTAAGTATCACTGGGTAAAGGAGGTTTACCAATGAAGGGAGAAGTGAGTTCTAAGTGTTCTGCTGAGGAAAACAACGCCATCTTGCAGGTGAGATGCATTTGTTTGTAGAATGCGCCGTGAGGCATGTTTCCCTGGAGCACAAGACCCCGCCTGATTTGCCCAGGTTTTCGATGGCTAATCTGGGTCTGCTCTTTGCAGTCCCTCCCTTGACCGGGAGGTTCTTTCTCCATCCCCCGAACATATCTGAACAGGACAAGGCCTGAAGTTGTGCCCGCTGACACAGGAGGAATGTCAGCTGTGTCCAGCTCCAGAATCACAAAGTAGGGCAAAGAGTGCATGTGAGAGCCACTGGGACACGTGTCATGATGGCCTGCGTG